CTAGTGGTCTGGCGAAGCACGCACCAAAGGTAATTTTCTTATCTTAATCTTGTCATTAAGTTAATGATGTTCATGGTATTATTTATTGCGAGTGCGGTCTTGTTTTTGGGTTTGTTTCCGCGGTGAGTCGGACTAACCAAACCCAAACAACTTTGTCTTGTCTTAGATTTCAATCACCCAAGGTAAGCAATGCTTTGGTAATGGTGTAATACCCCGTATTTTTATACGTATTTTATTTAATATATATACATTTTATACGTATTTTATTTCATATATATATTTTATAAGGGTATTTAAATAACTCTAGCATTTTAATTATGATGTTTTAATTATTTATCCCATGTAAATTGGGAATATTTTACAAAAGGAAAAGTCGTTTAATTAATTAATTAATAGAAGTTCGGGTTTTATTTTAAGAAATTATGATTTTTAACAAGTTTTAGTAGGTAAGGGATTAGGAAAAACTAAAGGAGGAAAGTTTAGGGTAAAAGGGGAGATAGAGAAGGGGTATAAATATCCCTCTTATGAGGCAATTCAACGTTTCCCAGAGTGGAGAAAACCCAAGGTAAACTTCTCTCCCTTTTCTCTTTATTTTTCTCTTTCTTTTTTTTTCTTTCTCTCTCCTTCCTTTCCCCTCTTTCCGTGCACACCACCACCGGTAGCCACCACCACCACCGGTGGGCCGCCGGCCACAAGCCCCAGCGGGCAGCAGCGGCGACCACCGCCAGTGGCGCCGGCCCCCTGTTGTCGGCAGCCCCTTTTCGAAAAAAAAAGGTAGGTTTTTCTTGTTTAAAAATCAAATCTTTATTACCTAAAACTAAACTATGATATAGTCTAATTATAAATTATGAGTTTGGAGATTTAATTTTGATGTTTGATTATTGTAATTGTGTGAATTAATTTTCAGATTTGGTTTTTTTATTAAAAAACCCCAATTTTTGAAACCCTAGGTTCTTGTTTCATGATTTACTGAAAGATTATGATATACAATAGGGTAGGCCTTTGTTTTAAGTGTTTTAAAACCAAATTAAAGCAAGTTTTAAGTATAATAAAGTGGTGGAATTTTATGTAGAACACTTGATATTAGGTTTCTTGAAGAAATTTTAATTACCCATTAATTAGGACTTAATTTATGGTGTTTTAAATATAATTTCAGCTTATTCTAATTAAATTATGAAGGGTTTTAAAATAGTATTTATTGCTGGAAATTTGTTTAGAGTGGAAATTAATACTCTATTATGAATTTAATGTGTAGGAGACTTTGAAGTAAGCGATTTCTACTAGTCGTGGCAGTTTTAATAACGTACTCAAGGCACGTACGCGTAATTAGCATATTTTGGTGATGTAGAATCATGCTAGGTTTGTTTGTAATTGATTATAAGCAGAATTATGCTAAGGCTTATATATGGAATTGTGAATTTATGGTGGTTGTGATTGAATTATGAAGCATGAATTATTTGTGATGGTTTTAGATTGGAAAATTATATTTTGGGCATGTTGCGTTTGAACCAGAATTTTATTTATGGCATGTTAGAAGGCATGATTAATTAAACTACGTGTTTAATTATGTTTGGAATATTAAAAAAGAATTTTATTATGGTTGAAATAATTTTTATTGATGCTTTAAGCATGAGGAAGGAGCTATATAAGTGTCTATGTACACAAGGAATAAATTGTATGTTGGTGCCTTTGTGCACTTAAGGTGTTTTTGACACTGAGGTAGAATTAAAAAGGGTTCAACAATAAATAAGATGTGGTCACTAGTTATTCAAGATACCTTTAGTATGAACAATGGGGGGGGTTAAAAAGGGTTCAACAAAAACTCTTGGAACGTATATACCTTTAGTATGAACAATTGGGGGGGGGGGGGTTATGGGGTTTTATATTTAACCATAACTTTCAATGCAGTACACGACGTTGTATATTCCTTTTTATTATTTATTATGCGCAGGAATTCCGCCACCTTTGTGTGGTTTGTTGCTGGCACGGTTACCTCCCGTGCAAGTTAACCTCAAATTTATTTGGGGGAGGTTAATAGGTGGAAACCCATTCGATGCATAATCAATGCAAAATGATCTAATTAGGGTCTAGTCATTGTATTGTGTTGATTGGTGTGTTTGTGAACAGGTGCAATGAGGTAAGTGTATCTTGATAGGTGAAAGCATGTTAGTGTGGCTATTTTACGCTTATGTAAGCTTTGCTGATTGTGTGTGTTTGTGTTTTGGCCATGTCTTTACCTTGGCCCTATGATGACCCATTTTTAATGGAGAGTAGTGGAAACAAGTAGAGATAAACTTTTCAGGTATTAAAGCATAATCATGATGGGGCATGAGTGAAGAGTGAATCATATTAGTTTTCATTAGATTACAATGTGTTTTATGCTTTATTTATTTATGATATATATTATGTGTGGACTAACATAAAGGTTTGCTTTGGGAACGGTTTTTCGAATAAGGGCCTTCAATGGTTCCAAGTTGTAGTTTGATTTTATTTTACTTGTTCGCTTGGTTTTAAACTTTATTTTCGTTTGGTTGACTTTGGGTTGACTTGTTTAAACGATTTTTAATTTTGAGTCTTCCGCTGTGTATCTTTGATAATTGCCTTAGCCGTTTTCGATCACGGTGGCGGTAATGTCTTAGTTATTCCTAAATCGTATTTAAAAAGAGTAGAATGAGTATTTAAAGAAAGGAATTTCTAGGGTGTTACAAAGTGGTATCTGGGAGCTTAGGTTGAGATTTTAAATTACCACTAACCCGAAAACATTTTTCTTACTTGATTTAAACTTGGCCAAGTGTGAATTTAATTATTTAACGATGATTGTTCTAATTTTATTTTTTTTATATATATACATATATATATATATATATATATATTTATTTAAATTTTTTTTATAAAAAAAAAAAATTATATATAAGGGCCGAATTTTATTTTATTTATTTATTTATTCATTTATTTATTTATTTATGGCCCGAAATATTTTTTTTTTTAGAACACTCGATTTTGGGGTAAATATGTATACTTTATTTTTATGTATTGCAGGAAGGAAGGATTGAGGTAAGTATTATGTGTTAAAAACTTTTATTAACATGTTGGTGCTCTTGGGTAGGAGAAAGAAAGGGCATATAGGCTAAGATTTAAATTTCTTCCTATGTGCATAGTTTTCTTTTGAATGATCAAGCATGTGATTTGACTAGGTGTTTGTTGATGAAGGCATGAAAAATGTGTATTACTCTATGTGAACCCTAAATATTGTATGATTGAACAATGAACCTTGTATTATTTATTTGATTTTACTTTATTTCTTTAGGAAGGGAAATCTTTTCTAAGCCTTTTTCTCTAGAGGATGCCAATCTTTCCTAGCAAATTTACCCAAATGGGATCTCTTGTAAAGAAAAATAATGAACACCCCTTTGACTTTGTAGAAAAGATCAGATACTTTTGTTCCTACATGAGCAATGTCCTACGGGAGAAAGTTTATGACACCCCTGATTGTATTTCGGCAATGATTGTCCATTGTCTTCTAGAGGAGCCCCCTTACATTGCTGTCAAACAAAGATTTTCTGATTTTTACCTTCCAGGAGACGTCCCAAATTACCATAAATACATAGACTATTATGGCCAATGGTATCCAGATTATATTTTCTTAACTAAATATCTCTTAAGGGTGGAGAAAGCTTATTTTCGGCGCTTAAACCTTCCCTACCCTGATTACTACTATGATATCCCAGTAGGGAACAATCCTCCTCCTAATCAACAACCAGGAAATTCTGCTTCTTCTTCTTCTTTGTCAAGGGGTAATCAAGCAGAGAATGGAGAACAACAAGAGGGTAATAGTTCACTTATGGACATTTCTGATCCAAATCCACCTCCAACTCCAATAATTATAGATATTTCATCGGATGAGGAGGAAGAAGGGGATTTTGTACAAGTAGAACCTGAACCTGAGTCACCTGAACCAATGGAAGAGTCAAATGATTCTAATTTCGATCCTTCGAGCTACAAGCAATCCACCGACAAAAGGGACAACGTTCGAATGGATTAGATCTTATGACTTTCCTCGCCACGAATTCATAGTCTTTATTTTAAAATTTATTTATTATTTCAGTTTTAGCTAATAAGTGGCATGACCACATCAGTTTCTGGAACACACTTTTTATTTTAATATCTTCAGTCTATTTTAATTAATAAAACCTTATTTATTTCTTTGATTAATTTTTATTAATAAATTATTTTGTTTTACAAATCTTCCATTTCACACCATTATTCCAGTAATCACCATTCCAAGCAACTTATCTCCAACAAACATTTATAAGCTATGAACGTCTATGGAAATTATATTTTTTTTTATGATGCTTTATTAAATGCATGGTTGGTTAGCAATCAATAATTAATTGATAAAGCTACATTAAGGGAATTTTTATCAACTGCTCTCCCAAATTGTTAGCTTCAAATTCTACTGTAAATGTTTAAAGGTCGTTAGGTAATAGACGAGTGTACGTCTTGAGAGCTAAACCTAGCCATTTCTAATAGTTATCCTTGTCCTATTTTCAGGAAAAACAAAATGGCAGGGGGGAGAAGTTCAGGTAGTGGTGGAAACGATTTGAATGAAGCAGTGAGGCTATTGACAGCAGTTGCCCAACAATTGGCAAGGAATTCAACTGGTAATGGGGATTCTCAAGGGGAGCTCTTTAAAAAGGTGGCGTAAAGCAAGCCACCAACCTATCAGGGCGAGCCTGACCTTGTTGTGTTGGAAAACTGGTTAAGGGAATTTGAGAAACTGTTTGGAAGCTGTGGGATGCCATGAAAACTCAAAAGTAAGTTGTGCTACATACTACCCAAGGGGTGAAGCTGACCTTTGGTGGCAACAAAACGAGGCTACCATTAGAGCATTACCTGGGTTCAACTGGACCAAATTCCAAGAAAAAGTGAGAGACAAGTTTTATCCTAGCTTTTTGCAGAAGCAGTAGGCTGAAGAATTTTCAAAACTTAGGATGGACAAGATGACAGTTACGGAATACTACACCAAGTTTATTGAATTATCCCGTTTTGCTGAAGGGTCTGTCTCTACGGAGAAAGCAAAAGCTAGGAAGTTTGAGAGTGGGTTAACTACTGATTTGCAGTTAAAGCTGTGCGGGCAGGTATTTGAGACCCTGGATGAAGTATATGGAAGGGCCGCACACGTTTATGCTCTAGAAGAAAAGAAGAAGAAAGAGTTAGCTGAAATAGAAGGAAGAGAGAAGAGGAAGGAAGTGGGACAAGTTTCTGGAAACCAACAGGGAAACCAGAATGGTATTAAGAAACAGAAATACCACCATAAAAATAACTTCCATAACAATAACAACTTCCATGATAATTACCGTCAAGGGAACATTAACAACAATGGAGGGGCTAGAAACAATAACCAGGGAAACAACAAGAATGGAAGAGTTTATTTTTGCAAAAGGTGCGAGAATAACCACCCTGGAATGGATTGTGAGGGCAATGCGGTCACTTGTCATTTTTGTAACAAGCTCGGGCATAGAGAATATGAGTGTTTCTCTAAGAACAGTAATGGGAACAAGAAAAACAATAATAATTCAGGGGGAAACCAAAGGAATTTCCAACAGAACAACAATAACTTTGCTGGGAACAAGGGAGTGCCACAAAATGGGGCAAGGAACAGTAACACTACCAATGGGAATAACTAGCAGAAGAGTGGAACTGCAGGGAAATTGAATGTTCTGAGTAAGCATGAGGCGGATGCCACGAAAGATGTTATCACTGGTACTTTTTCTATCAACTCTATTCTTGTTAAAGTATTGTTTGATTCTGGTGCAACTTTTTCTTTTATTTCTAAGGCTGTTGTTGCAAAACTTAAAGACTGCTTAAAGACAGTAGAGGTAGTAGATTTACCAATAACCATTCCGACAGGTGGGGTAGTAAATTGTACCAAAACTTCTAGAAATGTGCCTTTAGAAATAGAGGGAAAGATATTCCCGTCTGAACTCATTGAGTTCGGGCTGAGCGACTTTGACCTTATTTTGGGGATGGACTAGCTGAGTAAGTATAACGTTGAGATTAGTTGTAGATCACAGAAAGTGAATATGGTCACAAGTGGAAATGAATCAGTGACTTACAGGAGGATTGGTAAAACCAAGTGCCCAAGGGTAATATCAGTGCTAAAATTAGCAAAGTACATGAAGAAGGGACATCCAGTATATTTCTGCAGTGTTAGGGATATGAACCATGAACAAGTGACAAATCCAGAAAATATAGAAGTGGTCAACGAATTTGTAGATGTGTTTCCGGAGGAGATCCCTGGAATGCCACCTAAGAGGGCAATCGATTTTACCATAGATTTAGTTCCCAGAACAGCCCCAATATCCAAGGCACCATATCGAATGGAACCTGCAGAAATGAGTGAATTAAAAGAGCAGTTACAAGATCTGTCGGACAAAGGGTACATTAGACCAAGTGCTTCTCCTTGGGGAGCACCTGTTCTGTTTGTGAAAAGGAAGGATGGAAGTATGAGGTTGTGCATTGACTACAGGAAACTAAATAAAGTGAACATAAAGAATAAGTATCTCTTACCAAGGATAGATGATCTGTTTGATCAACTGAAGGGTGCCACAGTGTTTTCAAAGAAAGACTTGAGATCTGGGTATAACCAATTAAGGATTGCCGACGAAGACATTCCAATAACCGCATTTAGGACAAGATATGGGCATTACGAATTTACATTCATGCCTTTTGGATTGACTAATGCCCCAGCAATATTTATGGATTTGATGAATAGAGTATTTCATCAATTTATAGATAAGTTTGTAGTTGTGTTCATAGATGACATACTAGTGTACTCGAAAGGAAGAGCACGCAGAACACCTAAGGGCAATTCTGCAAACACTAAGAGAAAACCACCTCTACGCAAAATTCTCTAAGTGTGGGTTTTGGTTGGAAAAGTAGCCTTCTTGGGACATTACGTGTCCAAGGACGGAGTAGAGGTAGATCCAACCAAAATAGAAGCAGTTAAGGGTTGGCCGACACCCAAGACAGTATCTGACGTGAGAAGTTTCTTTGGTTTAGCAGGGTATTACAGACGTTTTGTTAAAGATTTTTCCAAAATTGCTAAATCCATGACCACCTTGATGAAGAAGGGCAAAAAGTTTGAGTGGGACGATAAATATGAAGAAGCGTTCCAACTCTTGAAACAAAAACTAATCACATCACCAATACTTACTCCCGGGTGATAGTGGACTATATGATGTGTACAGTGACGCATCAAAGAATGGCTTAGGATGCGTGCTTATGCAAAATGGGAAGGTGATTGCATATGCATTGAGACAGTTAAAGAAGCATGAAGTAAACTATCCCACCCATGATATGGAATTAGCTGCAATCATTTTTGCGCTAAAAATTTGGCGCCATTATTTGTATGGGGTGAAATGTAGAATTTACACGGATCACAAAAGCTTAAAATACATTTTCACCCAAAAGGACTTAAACTCCCGTCAGCGAAGATGGTTAGAGTATACGACAAATTATGATTTGGACATACAATACCACGAAGGGAAAGCGAATGTGGTTGCGGACTCTCTAAGTCGTAAGACTAGTCATGGAATCAACTCGTTGGTAGTGGCTAATGAACTATGTAGAGAAATGATGAAATTGAATTTGGAGGTCGTAGAATGGGGAGTACCAGCGGGTATTCTTGAGAATCTAAGCATCCAACAAACTATCTTTGACGAGATTCGAGTCAACCAAGAGGGGGATGTAAAGTTGGATAGGATTCGCGGGATTAAGCAGGGAAAGACTACATATTTCAAGATCCACGAAGATGGGAGTTTGAGGTACAAAAATAGATGGTGCGTACCACAGAAATGTTAGGAGGTGAAGAGGAAGTTGATGTAAGAAGGCCACAATACACCTTACTCTGTACACCCGGGAGGGGACAAACTATATAAGGATTTAAAGAAGATGTTTTGGTGGCCAAGAATGAAAAATAGGTTGCTGAGTTTGTGGTGAAGTGTTTAACATGTCAAAAGGTGAAGATAGAGCATAGAAGGCCTCAGGGAACGGTGCAGTCACTAAAGATTCCAGGATGGAAGTGGGATTACTTTTCAATGGATTTCGTGACTTGCTTACCTAAGTCAAGGAATGGAAATGATACCATTTGGGTAGTGGTGGACAGACTTACGAAATCATCAGTGTTTATACCAAAGAAAGAAACTTGGAAGATGGAGCAACTTGCGAAAGCTTACATCAAACATGTGGTGAGGTTACATGGAGTTCCAAAAGATTCCAGATTTCTCTCAAAATTCTGGAAAAGTGTACAAGAAAATTTTGGTACAATACTTAAGATAAGTACGGCGTTTCACCCTGCCATAGATGGGCAAACTGAAAGAACTATTCAAACCTTGGAGGAAATGTTGAGAGCTTGTGTAATAGACTTCTAGGGAGGTTGGGAAGACAGTTTGGATTTAATTGAATTTTCCTATAATAATAGTTACCACACAAGCATAGGAATGGCACCATTTGAGGCTTTTTATGGGAGAAAATGTAGGAGTCCAATCTGTTGGAATGACATTAGTGAGACCATGATCCTAGGGCCTCAAATGATTGAAGACACACTTAAATAAGTAAGGGAAATTCAAACTAAAATTCAAGCAGCTCAAGATCGCCAAAAGAGCTATGCAAACTCGAAGCGAAGAGAAGAAGAGTTCGAACTTAGTGATAAGGTGTTGTTAAAGGTGTCACCAATGAAGGGGGTGATGAGATTTGGAAAGAAAAGAAAGCTCAGTCCAAAATACATTGGTCCATATGAAATACTACAAAGAATAGGCAAGGTATCTTACAGGTTAGCATTACCTATGGAGCTTAGTAAAGTACATGATGTATTTCGTGTATCCCAACTAAGAAGGTACATCCCAGAAAAATCCCATGTTCTACAACCCGAAACCATTGAGTTTGATCAAAGCTTTACTTATGAAGAGAGACCTTTCAAGATTCTCGACATTAAAGTGCGTAGTACACGCAATAAGAACGTGAACATTGTAAAGGTACTTTAGTCTAACTAAGAATATGAGGAAGCCACTTGGGTGGAAGAAGATGAAATGAAAAAGAAATACCCAGAACTATTTCAGGTATGTTGAGCTACGGGGGCGTAACTCGTTTTCTTTAAGGGGGGTGCAATGCGATAGAATTTCGCGCTTTTTCCCTATGTTTTACATACTTCTAGTGCTTTTTGAACAAATTCTATCAAGTGTTTTAGGTATTAGTGCTCTCAAAGAGACACAAAGGAATGAAAAATGACAAAAAGTACAGCAATAATATACACAAAAAGGAAAAGTTTTGATATTCGTTTCCCCAAGTTTCGGGACGAAACTTGTTTTAAGGGGGGTAGACTGTAATACCCCGTATTTTTATACGTATTTTATTTAATATATATACATTTTATACGTATTTTATTTAATATATATATTTTATAAGGGTATTTAAATAACTCTAGCATTTTAATTATGATGTTTTAATTATTTATCCCATGTAAATTGGGAATATTTTACAAAAGGAAAAGTCGTTTAATTAATTAATTAATAGAAGTTCGGGTTTTATTTTAAGAAATTATGATTTTTAACAAGTTTTAGTAGGGAAGGGATTAGGAAAAACTAAAGGAGGAAAGTTTAGGGTAAAAGGGGAGATAGAGAAGGGGTATAAATATCCCTCTTATGAGGCAATTCAACGTTGCCCAGAGTGGATAAAACCCAAGGTAAGCTTCTCTCCCTTTTCTCTTTATCTTTCTCTTTATTTTTTTTCTTCCTCTCTCCTTCTTTTCCCCTTTTGCCGTGCACACCACCACCGGCAGCCACCAGCACCAGCCGGTAGCCGGCAGCAGCGGCAACCACCGGTAGTGGCGTCGGCCCCCTACTGTCGGCAACCCCTTTTCGAAAAAAAAAGGTTTTTCTTGTTAAAAATCAAATCTTTATTACCTAAAACTAATCTATGATATAGTCTAATTATAAATTATGAGTTTGGAGATTTAATTTTGATGTTTGGTTATTGTAATTGTGTGAATTAATTTTCAGATTTGGTTTTTAATTAAAAAGCCCTAATTTTTGAAACCCTAGGTTCTTGTTTCATGATTTATTGAAAGATTATGATGTATAATAGGGTAGACCTTTGTTTTAATTGTTTTAAAACCAAATTACAACATGTTTTAAGTATAATAAAGTGTTGGAATTTTATGTAGAACACTTGATATTAGGTTTCTTGAAGAAATTTTAATTACCCATTAATTGGGACTTAATTTATGGTGTTTTAAATATAATTTCAGCTTATTCTAATTAAATTATGAAGGGTTTTAAAATAGTATATTTTGCTGAAATTTGTTTAGAGTGGATAATAATACTCTATTATGAATTTACTTTGTAGGAGACTTTGAAGTAAGCGATTTCTACTAGTCGTGGCAGTTTTAATAACGTACTCAAGGTACGTACGCGTATTTAGCATATTTTGGTGATGTAGAATCATGTTAGGTTTGTTTGTAATTGATTATAAGTAGAATCATGCTAAGGCTTATGTATGGAATTGTGAATTTATGGTGGTTGTGTTTTAATTGTGAAGCATGATTTATTTGTGATGGTTTTAGATTGGAAAATTATATATTGGACATGTTGTATTTGAACCACACTTTTATTTATGGCATGTTAGAAGGCATGATTAATTAAACTACATGTTTCATTATGTTTGGAATATTAAAAAAGAATTTTATTATGATTTAAATAATTTTTATTGATGCTTTAAGCATGAGGAAGGAGCTATATAAGTGTCTATGTACACAAGGAATAAATTGTATGTTGGTGCCTTTGTGCACTTAAGGTTTTTTTAACACCGAGGGATAGGATTTTTGGCGCATTATACGTTTAAGGTGTCTTTGACACTAAGGTAGAATTAAAAAGGGTTCAACAATAAATAAGATGTGGTCACTAGTTATTCAAGAATTAAATTGGTATATTTGCTTGATTGAATAATTATTTTTGATTGACTTATTATGTTTTGAGAGTCATCACCAAGTCTAATAATGTGTAAATAACGTAAATTGAAAGAGATTACGCACCAAAACTCTTGGAACGTATATACCTTGAGTATGAACAATGGGGGGGTTATGGGGTTTTATATTTAACCATAACTTCCAATGGAGTACAGGACGCTGTATATTCCTTTTTATTGTTTATTATGCGCAGGAATTCCACCACCTTTGTGTGGTTTGTCGCTAGCACGGTTAGCTCCCGTGCCAGTTAACCTCAAATTTATTTGGGGGAGGTTAATAGGTGGAAACTCGTTCGATGCGTAATCAATGCAAAATGATTTAATTAGGGTCTTGTCATTGTATTGTGTTGATTGGTGAGTTTGTGAACAGGTGCAATGAGGTAAGTGTGTGTTGATAGGTGAAAGCATGTTAGTGTGGCTATTTTACGCTTATGTACTCAGCTTTGTTGATTGTGTGTGTTTGTGTTTTGGCCATGTCTTTACCTTGGCCCTATGATGAACCATTTTTAATGGAGAGTAGTGAAAACAAGTAGAGATAAACTTTTCAGGTATTGAAGCATGATCATGATGGGGCATGAATGAAGAGTGAATCCTATTAGTTTTCATTAGATTACAATGTGTTTTATGTTTTATTTATTTATGATATATATTATGTGTGGACTAGCATAAAGGTTTGCTTTGGGAACGGTTTTTCGAATACGGGCCTTTAACGGTTCCAAGTTGTAGTTTGATTTTATTTGACTTGTTCGTTTGGTTTTAAATTTTATTTTCGTTTGGTTGACTTTGGGTTGACTTGTTTAAACGATTTTTAATTTTGAGTCTTCCGCTGTGTATCTTTGATAATTGCCTTAGCCGTTTTCACGGTGGCGGTAATGTCTTAGTTATTCCTAAATCGTATTTTTAAATATAGTAGAATGAGTATTTAAAGAAAGGAATTTCTAGGGTGTTACAAATGGCTCCAAGCCACTCTTGGTTGAATAAATCATTGCATCTAATGCTATCTCATTAATTTATCCACTTTTCCACGACTTGTTAGGACTCCATCACTCATATCGTTGAGTACAACCAAAACCATCTTGCATACTCGGTATGCCTTATGAGTCTAGGGGGTAGTAGTGATGTCTCGCTTTGCCGTAGCCCATCACTACTCTCAACAGGTCGATAAGTGTTGTTTTGAAATGACAATTTTACTCAATATTTAGGGACCTAGGGTTTCTCTATTGGTTGACTTAAGTGAACTTAATTAATCATCGCAACATTTGAAATCCTAAACATGCATCTATCATATAATTCGTATATAAATGATCATAAATATGTAAAGCATAAGCATTTTGATGTATATTGGCAACTAGCATGACCCCTTGAATTCTTCAAGTATTCAAAAGGTCTTCTTTTGCAACTTCATGGCTTTGTCTTCTAAGAACCTCCGTCTTCAGAACTTGACCAAAATTATGCAACTACTAGTATTTATGATTAGGACTAATCTAAATATTAAGGTACAAAAATTCACAACCGTACGCAAACCGTATTTATATTTCCAAAAATAAATCACGGATCGCAGTTCGTATTTTCTATCCTAATCGGGCCCCACTAGTTGCCATTTTTATAAAACCTGTGAGAGAATATACATTCCATTCATCCATTCACTATTTGTGAATGCCCCATGCATTTTACAACGATTAACAAGTAACAATGCATAAACACGCGATAACTAGTAACTAATCTAGGTGGTTAATCCAAATGACACGCCTAATTAAAACTAGTCAAAGTCATTTTAACCGATTATGTAAATAAGCGCAATTAATATTTGACTCTTCTGCGGGGCTTGCAAGAAGACAAGCCACGAAGCTGCACAAGCTTACTAGCTATGCGCACCATGCCACAAGCCACGCAGCACATCCCCCGCACCCCACTGCTGCACCATGCCGCAAGTGGCTAGCGCGCATAGCTATGTTGCTGCGGCACGCTGCTGCTTTGGCAGTGCTGCTTGCTGCCTCGGACGCACGAGCTAGGCCTATTAACGGGTCAGATATCCAATTCATCATATGTCAGTAATTGAAATCCGATCCGAAAATTTCGGATAACTAATATCCGATATCCAAAATCATGCAAATCGGATATTTGGGATATCCATTATCCAATGTTATTGAAAACTTAAAATTAATTATGGTTGTATTCCTGTAATCCTGTACCTGTTATTCCTGTACTATTTTTTATTTTGTGAAAAACCTGTACAATAATTGTAATAGTCTATTTTGCAAATTTAATTAATAAAAAACCATTATTTAACATATAACTCCTCATATACGAAGTAGTGGCATACTAGCATTAGTCTTAGTGCATTACAAATCCAACTCCTCAAATTAAAAATACAAAGCTTAATAAAGTCTTAACATTACAAAGTTTACATAAGTCATTTTACTAAATAATAAAAAAAGTAGCAAAAAAAAAAAAAAAAACAGTACCAATAATACGTCTCAAATGAATTCCTCAAATGTAGTCATCAACAACCGACACCTGCTCAACCAAAGCAGTAACAAAAAATAAGAATTTGATCAAAAATTAACAAAGAAGCACGAAATTAGGAAAATAAGAAACAAAAAAATTAAGCACGCTATTCAAAAAATAAACAATAAAAAATCAACGAAATTAACACATATAGATAGAAAACTAGATGACAAATAAACTAGCAAAAAACTAGAAACAATAACTTGATAAAAAATTAACACAAATAGATACAAAAAATCAGATAAAAAATTGAAATTCCAAAAAATACAAGTAGATCGAAAACCTTACAAACAACCGAACCTGCCAACAAATAGAACGAAATTTAGATAACAAAATGAAATTCACAACAAATATTAAAATATCAAAACAATGAATTTGAAATACATATCGGAGAGGTGGAGATTAGCCGAGAAAATACGAGTAGTAGGAGATCTGGGCGACTGAAAGACTGAAGGACTGAAGGAGATCTTAAGCGGCTGAACTTAAGGTGGCGGCGTGGCGGTGGGGCGGAGTAGCAGCTTGAGGCCTTGAGAGGCTGAGCGTAGAAAAAGAAAGGGAGAAATTTATGGTTTTTAGGAATATAGTAAGAGAAAGTGATTAAGGTGAATAGATTGTCTACTTGTTTGATTATAAATTTGTTTCAAGAATATTTATTTTCTTAAAAAAACATATACTATATCTATTCTCTAATTTAAATATTTACCTTTTAAATTATTATCAGATATCGGATACCGGTTTTGATATCCGTTATTTTCAGATATCGAATATCCGAAAACTTAAAAATCCATATTCGAAATTGTACCCGAAATCCGATCAGAAATGAAAACTCGGATTGGATACCCTAAAATTCGGATCGGTTGCAGATCGGATTTTCGGATTCTCGGATAGTTTTGTACAGGCCTAGCACTAGCCACGCACGCGCACCAAGCATCAGCCCTTGGTAGCCACATGCGGGCTGCACAACAGCCCGGCTAGCCGAAGGGCGTTGTTTTTGTTTGCGTGCCATACTCTGGTTTTTGAACCCGAGTTTTGCGTGACTTAATAATTAATTCTAAATCATTTTTAGAACTATACGTAATGTGCAAAATGAAAATTAAGCAAGTCTAACTCAAATAAAATCCATCAAAGTGCATTCAACCACAATTATTTCCAAGAACCATTCTTTGATAAAATTTGTTTAACTTGGTGCAACAAAAATAAGAGGGCAATTACTCACTATTAATTTAATCAATTTATATTAATCTTGTGATTTTTGCAAAATAAAAGGGAGTTGGAAAAATGAACATAAGTTTAATAAAGATTCCCACTTTAATACTTGTGAATCCTTGAGAAATTATATCTTCCATTATAAAGATAAACAAATTTCTATCACAAGTTTCAAACTTTATGATTCCAATCATCTAAAATATGATTAAATCAACAAAGTTCAACAAAAAAAATCATGGAATTTAGTAACTAAAAATTTCAATCACTTAACATAATAAAAGATTGAATATTATGTACTTAGAAGCCTCAAAGAACAACAATTTCACACTTAATGCAATTAATTTGCAATTTGTGAAAAATAAAACAAACCTTTCAAACACAAATTACCACCAAGTAATCATTCCTAAAGAGGTTTAAAATTGCATAAAAATATGTATTGAACCAATTATATAACCACCAAAAATATGCAATTAATTTTCAAGGTTAGAAAGACTAAAAATTTTCGTAAAAACGAAAAAACCCCTCGAAAAGTGCATTTCTAGTCGTTTTTTTTGGCTAAAAATCGAATCTTAAAAGGGTAAAACCATTTCCAAAACGCCTTTTCCACCCAAAATTCACTATTTTTGGGTCAAAATCTGGATTCGGGAGCTAAAGTCAACTCTAATACGGGATTAAAATTAATAAACCGAGCTACTAATCTAATTAGCAACTTAAAACTAGAAAAATTAAGTCATAAAAACACCTTGAAAAATAATATGATTTTAAAAATAAACGAGCAAGCCTTTGATACCGTTGTTGGGGTTTAGTGAGTCCGACTCACCGCAGAAACAATCCCAAAAACAAGACCGCACTCGCAAGAAATAAAACTATAAACATAATTAAATCAACAAAAAGATTAAGATAATAAGATTACCTTTGAGCGTGCTTCGCCCGACCGCTTGGGCTCTTATTTGAAATCAAGCTTCGAAATTACGAAGCCTCCAACGATGATCAACCCGCAACGACGATCACTGACTAGGTCCAATGTCTTGGGGTTAGCAAGACCCGACCGATAAAACCGAGTAACTAAGTTCAAAGGCTTTCACAAAATGTGATACCTTTTCTAACTCTTGAGTTCAAAGGTTTTCACTTCTAGTGATCCCTTTTCCAATTCTTACTCAAACATCATTTCCAATGCCCTTACTTGGGTATTTATAGGAAATGATGAGAGTATGATTATCTTTCCCATCAATGTGGGATAGTGAGATTTTCACATTTTATTTTAAAGGTAAAATAAAATTATTTAAGCAAGCTAGTAATAAATAAACAAGTGTCAACTATAAATGAGAGAGCAAGTGCAGACCACTTGGAGAGGGGGGACCAAACTTGCTCCCCACTCTCTCCCTCACCTTGTGCCACATGTCCTCTCCCACTTGGACATCAAGGCACCCAAGTGGGCTTCCCTTTGTTCCTCCCTTAGTCTCGACCCAGCCACCTGCACCCATGAGTTGCGGGCTACTACTAATCTCGGCCAGCATGCCGCACACTCCAAGTGCGGGCTGCTTCTGCTCTCGGCCAGCATGCCATGCACTCTAAGTGCAGGCTGCTGCGTCTGCTTGGTGCCGAGGCTTGCCTTGGCTCCTATCATTGGTGCTCTAGCACGCACCAGCCAGCCAAGGCTCGACTTGGTGTGCATCCTAGCCACCATGCTACACATTGTGCCCCTAGCACTCGAATTTCTCGGGGAACTCCGATGCTAGAGGTATTTTGGTAAATACGCTTATTTATTACTATTTGCACGTCTAGTCTTTTACTTTTTTCAACTTGACTTTTGACACTCGATTTCGACGCTCTAAGCACGAATTTCTGACGTCTAAATAAATATTACTTGGTCGACTCATTAATTGCTTCATTAATTCCTTCCGAATTAATTCATCGCTTTCGCTCGGTGGTTGCTTGGGTGTGACGCGAAGGGTTCATCGGAAGCGGCCTCCACCCAGACATTTCGATCACATAACTTTACTAAATATATTAGCTTTCTAATAATTCTTAACCCACTATTAGAATAATACACTTGTTCGAAAGACACTATTCCTTTCACATTATTCCTTTACTTTAAAAAATCATTGTTTGGTTTAGGAGAGATTAGATACGTTGTATAGGATTTGTGGTTCGAGTTTCGGTTGCGGTTTTGAATTAATTCCCATGCGTGTATCTTGAGTGATTTTTGACATGTTTTGCTTCCTTCCATGCTTAATTTAGTTTGATATCTACGCCTAGTTATTATGTAATCTTCCTATGATGACTTCATGGTGTTGATGAATAATATTGTAAGTTATAAGATGTGTTAATCTAAAATAATTGTAGTCGCTGCCTATAGAGGTTGTGCATGTGTTTAGGGCTACTTATCATGTTATTTTACTAATTTATCTAGCATATTTTGAAGTGATTATGGAAGATATCATAAGGGATTATTTTGTAGGTTGTTCAATTTATGAATAGGTGGATCTTATTGTAAGGAGGGTGATCCCATCGTAAGGGGTACTCTCCTTAAATGCCCTTGGCCACTTAAAAGCCAAGGAATTTACACTTGTTAAGGTGTAGTAGGATTTGAATTCCCGACTGTTTGGGGGGCTTTGAATTAGAATTGATTCCATCATCACGCCTTTTTATAAGAAACAAGTAGGAGTCGCCAATGGGTTTTAGGAAAAACTCATAAACCTCGTTCATGCCTTTCTTCATGTGGAGTTCATGGAATAATTAGCACAAATCATAAGTTTACCCATGCCCAAATCGGTCTATAAACCAGAAATAAGTTCGGGAGCGAGGGTACTAAGATAACTGATAAGTGACTTTTATGCCACTTTTAGGGTGTTTATTGAGTCGTTTTCCGGCTTATTTTCCAATAATTTAGCCCAGTTTGTCCTTTAATTCTATTATTTGCTTATTCTCGTATTTTATCTTTATTTTGAGTATTTTAGTAGTTTTTAATAGTTTTTAGCTTATTTTCTTAATTTATTTAATTTATCTTACATTCTATGTTTATATTTTAAGTTTTTAGTTCTTGTTTTCTAATAAGTTCCTAGTTTCTCTCATTTTCTCATTTTATTTTATTTTCATGTTTGTTCTCTTTATTTTATTTAATTTCTTTTGATTTTATTTTTTATGTTATTTTTATTTTATTTTATTTCATTTTATCTTTATTTTATTTTATTTCGTGGTAATACCCTTGTGTTTTTGGTTGTAGGTGTTCTGGGTTTCAAGTTCAAATCGTGTTCGGGGTCCGAGGTTCGAGGCAAATGCACAATGCTCCCTGCTCTTCCCCTGCTGCCAGTCATATGCTTCACCACACCTCATCTAAGCACACCACCACCATCAGCCAGCCAAACCACCATCTCCACCACTGCTTTCCCCCAATTCGCACCAGCAGCCCCTGCTCCTCCTTCTCACACCCACACCTCACGCAAGCAAGCAGTAGCACCACACAACCACCGTCACAATCAACCACCACCAGCCACCAAAGAAACAATTGCCACCAACCAAATCAGCCCAACAACACCAACACCAACAGCAATCACCACCACGCTGCCAGCAGCAGCACAACCCAGCCACACCTCCCATTTCACCACCAAAACCGCCAACAAGTACCACCTTTAATTCGACCCCCGCAACACCAATTAAACCACCAGCACTACCTATCAGCCCACCACAACCCGCAACAACAATTACCACCTCCAATCTACCACCCTTAACCACCACCAAACAAACCGCAGCCACCCTAACCACCTGAACCACCAACACCCCGCAACAGACCCCCATTTAATCCATCCTCACAGCACACCACCTCTGCCACCATCTCCTCCACATAAAGCGACTCCAACCCGCAACAGCAGCCCACCAACAATCCCCTGTTCCCTCACCGCAGCTGCAGCCACCCAACTTCAATGTAACACCCGCAACAACAACTCTAATCACCCTTACCCAAACCGCATCGCAAGCCAATTCGCAACCACCATTTGCCCGCAATTGCAGCAACTAATTTGATTGGAGCTTCGCGGCCACGCAGCCCTGTCAGAAAGCGCGCATTTGGAATCCGAAATCATAGTCGAGACAGTAGCTTTGCGCGACCTCTGCGCGATGTCTTCGCGGGCGCGCAAACGTGGGTTCAATCACGAGCTTCTCACGTGAGTTTAATGAAAATTGAACGGCCTTATTGATGCTTGATTGATGACAATGAGGATTAACGGTGGTGATTATATGATGATGCGTGGTGATGGTGTTGATGGAAGATCAGAGCAGCCACGAAAGGGAGTGAAATTTTTGGGGCTGATTTGTTTTCGTGGTCTGATGACTTTGGGGGGGTTTCTGATTTTATTTTCCTTTTTGTTTTTATTTTCTTTATTCTTTATTATTTCCTTTCTTTTATTTTATTTATTTTTCATTTATTTTATTTATTT